TAGCCTTCTGGACTTCTCCTGAGCATGAATTTCCATGGGAAAGAGACAGAGCATTTTGCTTGCATGTCTCAGGTTTGCACTGTGGTTTGTTCATCTGACTTCCCTGACCTGAAGGGATCTCCCATTTTCATTCTGCCTTACTCTGTATCCTGTGGAGCTCTGTGAGTAAATAGCTGCCAATAGCAGGTGACAGGGTGCTCTGCGCTGTGGTGGTTGAACTCTGCTAGCTAGCTGTTCCCTAGAATCAGAATGCCTGCATCGCACGGGGAAAATGCCATCTGTTCTTACTAGTCAATGGTGGTGTAATAGTTCAATTTCTTCATTGTGATAAAACACCATGACCAAGGCGACATACGGAAGGAAGGGTTTGTTGGGGGCTTATGGTTCCAGGGGACTAAGATCGCATTACCATCATGGCAGGGAACTATGGCGGCAGGCAGGCATGGGGGCTGTGGCTGGAACCTGGGAGCTGAGGGCTCACGTCTCAAACCATCACCAGGAAGCAAGAGAGAGAGAACTTCAAATGGTGTATGGTCTTTGAAACCTCAGAGCCCACTCCTGATGGTGCCTTTCCTCCAGCAAGGCCATTCCTCTAAACCTATCCAAATAGGGCCACCAATGGGGGCCAAGTATTCAAATGCCAAAGTCACTGGAGGGCATTTCTCACTCAAACCACCATTCAGGGCATGAACATTTTAAGAATGAATTTTACTTTTAATTGACAAACCATTGAATTTATTATCATGGCCATGTGTAAGTGTAACATTAAGTACATTTCCCTTTTGTGTAACCAGCATCCAGGAAGACCTCATCTTCTAGAACTGACACTGTATATCCATTTCCTGTTTAGATCATTTTCTCTGTTTTCCCTCCCCCCAACCCTCAGAGCATCAGAGCATGAGGCTGTTTTATGTTTTTTGTTTTTCTTTCATCTCATGTCATATTTTTGTACATTCATCCCAAGGGAAGCAAGCAAGTCTTGGGGCACAGTATGCACATAGTAGTGTCGAGGAGCCAGTGGGTGATTCTAACTCAGGCACTTGCCCTGTCTTCTGCTTGGGGCTCATATCGAAGCCTATGGGTTCAGCATTCTCTGCTGATGTGGCAGACCAGAACACCACTGAGAAGTGCATTGTCACATTACTATTTTACTTAAGCATTTAAAAAAAATTGAGACATGGTAACATGCTCTAGCCCAGTCTGGCCTGGAACTTGTTGTGAAGACCAGGCATATCTCCAACTTGTAACTCCTCTGCCTCTGTCTCCTAAATACTGGGATTACAGGCATGAACCCCACTATCTTAGAGTTACTATTGCTATGATGAAATACCATGACTAAAAGAAGTCGGGGAGGAAAGGGTTTACCCAACATACACTTCCATATTGCTATTCATCACCGAAGGAAGTCAGGACAGGAACTCAAACAGGGCAGGAACCTGGAGGCAGGAGTTGATTCAGAGGTCATGGAGGGTGCTGCTTACTGGCTTTCTCCTCACGGCTTGCTCAGTCTGCTTTCTTATAGAACCCAGGACTACCAATCCAGGGATGGCACCACCCACAAAGGGCTGGGCCCTCCCCCATCAATCGCCAATTGAGAAAATGCCTTACAGCTGGATCTCATGGAGGCATCTTCTCCCCTGAAGTCCCCTTCTCTCAGATAATTCTAGCTGTGCCAAGTTGACATAAGACTAGCCAGTACACTCACCATATCTGACTTCAAATTCTTTATATTGTAACTTTTTTACATTTTATTTTATTGTGTGCACGACACACATATATCCACACTACAGTACAAATGTAGAAATCAAAGGACAAGTTGCAGGTGTCCATTCTCACATTCCACTGTCTGGGTCCCAGGGTTCAAACTCAGGTCATGAGCTGAGCCACCTTGTCAGCCTGCATGTTATTTCTTTAAACCCATGATATTCCTGAATGTCTTGGCTTGGCTGACATAGTATTACAAGTATTGTGCACTTAATTATTTTATATTTAGATGTTGAGACAGAACCCAGGACCCCCTGTGTATTACGTCTTTGCTGTCTCATTGAGCTACACCTGAACTCCAAACACACTACTTAAACAGCCCCTTGTGACAAAGCCCTGTGCAACTGATTATTTTTCTTTTATAACAACAAGCTTTCTTTCTTTGGAATTTTCATGTTTGGAACTGCTGTATACCACTTGAGGCCCAATCCTCATGCTGGGTATTTCAGAAAAATATTGTATTAGAGCCATTGGGAGGTTCTGGAAATATCCAAAGAAGGAAAAATTGTATGATCTCCTCTTTCCCTAGGGTCAGGAATAGATAATGAAGAACCGACTTCAGAGTTGGCTTAGGGATGGATGGTCCAGCATAAAAAAGGACAGCTGTTGTACTTGAGGATAAGACACTTTGGAATGGGGACTAAGAACAGAGCTGGAGGGTACCTCCCCTCTTCTTTCTCTTGTGGGAGAGAATATTAAGTTACACAAAGATAGATTCTTATTTAACCATAATAGCAGCTTTCAGTGCATAAGGTCAAAGCTGTGACACAGCTAATTCTGTCACAGTTACCTACAGCCTGTGCTTGCCTAGTTTACAGGTCCACTGTCCTCTGGATAGGCAGCTGCACTTGGCCTGAACAGACCCTGGCTTTGCCGCTTGAGGAGGCCATCACTGTCGGCTACTGCTGAGTTGAGAGGAGACCAGCAGCATGAGGGAGAGAAAGTTTTAATGCTGTTGGTATGAAATCCCCTTCTGGGTTATCTATGAGCTCAATCCAAGAGGAGTATTAAGGAAGTCCTCACCCCTGTTCCCTCCATATCCTACATTTATGACCACCCTTATACTGCCCATCAAAGCTCTCAGGGCCCAGCCTTTGCTGGGTCCTCACCTGCAGTGCAGTGCGCCTTCACTCATGTGAACCCCGCTTCCTCTGCCTTACAGCTTTTCCTTTCATTCTTCCTCTCAGAAGACCTCCTAGGACTGCTCGATGTTGAAACCCTTAATAGTCGGTCCTCCTGGCTAGAGGCATATTTGTACCTAAGTCAGTCTGTGCCACCATGACAAAATACCTAAAACAAGAACTTTATAGACAAAAGTTCTATTGAGCTCACAGATTGGGAGGCTCAGGTCGGATTCCCACACACCCACTACTTTGGAGTCTGGCAAAGGCACGGGATGACGGTGGTGTGGCAAATGTTGATGCTAAAAGACAGAGAACAAGCTTGGGGACTCACAACCCTTCTCCAGCACCTAAAGGCTTCTCACTAGGAGACAAACCTTTATGTGTGTGTATTTGGGGGACACCAAATGGCCACAGAGGGAGGACTTGAGAGGAGCGTGCACCTTTCTGTCACTATGATGTGCTTTGATGGTAGGCCTTTGGTTAGAATGAGGACTTAGAGGAACACAGCTAGAGATGGACATTTTGACTAGATGAGCCTGGCTTTGAGTCAGGGCATTGCTAATAGGCTCCGAATCTTTAATGGATGCCTTCACCTACAAGAGCCCGTTTAATCAGTGGGAAAGATACAGATGCCAACTTTTATGAATGGTAGACAGGGTTAAAGATGGCACAGGCTGTGAAGTTGCAAGTGTCTGTCTCCCCTTTGCCTTTGGTCCTTCTGAATGAAAATCTGAGGTTGAAGTTTTGACTTTTCTGCCAGAATTACCTAACACCCATTTCTTTGTTTAAAAATCACCCATGCTGTACGTTTCAAAGTTTTATTTTCACTTGTGAGCATGTATGTGTATGTCATGTATGTGTGAATGCTTGCAGAGGCCAGAAGAATGCTTCATTCAGATTGGAACTGGAGTTACATACAGTTGTGTGCTATCTGACATGTGTGCTGGGAACCGAATTTAGGTCATCTGGAAGACCAACAAGTGGATCACTGCTCAGTCGTCTCCCCAGCACCTGTGCTGTATATTCCCTTTGGATGTAATATACATATGCCCGTGTGTGTGATTCTAGAACTTTCTATTATATACAATGGGGGTGATATGAACTCTCTTTTAATTGTGTGTGTGTGTGTGTGTGTGTGTGTGTATGCATCATGTTTGTGTGAATACAGGCATGTTTGTGCCAAAATCATGTGTGGAGATCAGAAGACAACTTCCATTTGCTTCTTCCCTTCTACCTTGTTGAAGCAGGGTCTGTCTTCTTGTTTCTGCGTCACTGAACCCTGCAGGCTAACTGGCCTCAGTGCTACTTTTGTCTGTACCTGCCATCTCCTTGCTGGAGAGCAGGGATTTCAGTTGTTCGATGCTGCATCTGGGTTTTTTTTTTTTGGGGGGGGGTAGTGGGGGTTAATGTGAGTTCTGGTGCTTGAATGTGGGTCGTCAGGCTTGTGCAGTGAACACCTTCACCTGCTCAGCTCTATCTGGCCCTGGGTTCACCTTTACTGAGGATTTTTGGTCTCAAAAAACCTTGTTTGTTTTTGTTTATGTTTTTTGTGTTAGGGTTCCTCTGTGTAGCCCTGGCTGCCCTGGAACTTGTTCTATAGATCAGGCTGCCCTCAAACATAGAGATCACCTGCTTCTACCTCCCAAGTGCTGGGATTAAAGGCATGTGCCACCACCTCTAGGCTAGAACACCTTTATAGAATCTAAAAAATATTCTCATATATATTTTTCATTAAATCAGACTTTATTGATACTGAAATTTGAGTTACATGTAATTACTATTTTTAGTTTTTCTCATACTAGAAGAATACAAACTGCATCTCAGTTTTTAAAATTAAGACTGTATTTTGGAACAGTTTTAAAGGTATAGAAAAATTGAGCAGGTAGTATAGAGTTCACATGCACAACTTTCCATATTTTTAGCATCTTGTGTTTATACAGTATATTAACAAGCTATAGATCAATATTGACTAATACCTAATCTAACATCCATAGTTTATGCAGATTTCTTTAGTCTTTATTTAGTATCTTGTTTTCCTGTTACAAGCCACCATCCAGAACACTGCTGTATGTGAAGAATGATATTTATATCTTTATTTTTCTCTGTTAATAGGTGTACAACATGTTTCAGCACCAGAGCCTTGGGATTAAAGTTAACATTCAAGTTACCAAGCTGGTCCTGCTGCGACAACGCCCGGTGAGTCTCTGTAGGTGCCTTCAGTGCACCCTGAGAACTTAATGAGTTTGGAAGTTTCCCCTGACTGTGACTGCTAGGGAGAGCTTCAGGCAAACTGGCTTGTTCACCTTCCTGGCTTTGAAGATGGCACCATTGTGAGAGAGGAGAGTCTTTGGGAGTTATGCAGGAGGCTTAGAATCTCAAGGGAATGCTGAGCCAGAGGCTCACACACTTCCCCTGTTCCTGGAAAGTCTGGCATTTGGCTTTCACACAGGTGGAAAGCTGCAGGAGGTCTCAGAAATGTCTTTGTTCCTGGAGCTCCTGCCCTGTTGGGACTGAGCATATCCTTGTTTTTGCTATTTCAACTGAGTGCCTCCCTTCAAGCCAGTGCTACCTACAAGAAGATGAAGGAAGCAGGGAGTGCACTGGATGTTGTAGCCTGTTGTGTTTCTGAGAAGTAGGTTGCTTTGCTTTAATGACAGTCATCATTGAACTCATGGATAAATGGTCTTGAGACCTCCTGAGCATCCTTTGGTTCTAGGCTTTTATCTCAGGGCAGAGAGTCATCGAATTCTGTCTTCAGGAGCATATACCATCCACAATAAAGTCTGGGTGGCAACTTTGGCTTCCTAGATGACACTTTCTCTGACTACCCTTCTATTTCTTTTAGGCCAAGTTATCCATCGGGCACCATGGTGAGCGGTCCCTGGAGAGCTTCTGTCACTGGCAGAATGAGGAGTATGGGGGTGCACAGTACCTTGGCAATAACCAAGTACCAGGAGGGAAGGATGATTCACCTTCTGTGGATGCTGCTGTGTTTGTGACCAGGTAAGCCTGGGGCCAGCTTGGATCTGGTGAGCAAGAGAGGTGCTGGCATGGTTTGTGGATGCTGCCGACTAACTTGGGCAACTTGGTAGGGAGAAGAGTGGATGCTATGAGTTGTCTATGGAAGAATTCTAGGTGGGTCCATGGGCAACCTACACAGCCTTGCATGACATGCTGTCCACAGGACAGTGGGATCCCCTCAGAAAACTCAATCTTCTGGATGCTCATGGAATTCAGGCAAAAACTGTTTGAATCATGGGTAAAGGTTCATTCCTGACTGCAGAACTGGGGTTATCCTTCCAGAACAAGGGCCCAGAACTACATAGCAGAGACCCAGGGTGGCCTCTGACATCACAAGCCAACTGCATTGCGATGGTACCATACCTGCTGACCAAAAGCAGGTGACCCTAAATGATGAAATTTATCCCCTACATATTCAAAAATTGAGATATGGATAAGTCTTCACTCTCCCCAGGTCCTTATGAGGAGGACCATTCCTTATTTTCTGAGTTCTGGTGGCTATTGCCACCCTCGACAAGCTTTGGCTTGTGGACACCTCATTTGAGTTTCCCTTCCACAATAGCCTTCTCTCCATGCTTCTTTCCATGTCTAGATTGTCCCGTGTCCAGATTGTCCTCTTAAGAGGACCCCACTCTTTGGAGTAGGACCTATCTTAACCTTTTGTGAACACTTATTTCAGTTGTTTTATTTTTCAAGACACTGAAACTAGCTCTGTAAACTAGGTTGCTCTAACAGGTCAGAAAACTGCCTGTCTCTGACTCCCGAGTGCTGAGATTAAAGGTGTAGACCACCGCCAGCCAGCTTGTGACCGCTGCTTAACTGGACTATCCCTGCAATGTCCCCATCAAAAATAAAGTCACATTAATAGGCATTTAACCATCTCTGTTCTAAGGACACAATTCTAGCATGCACGTGCAGACATACATAAACACACATGTATGTACATGCTTACACACACACACACACACACACACACACACACACACACACACACACACGGAAAAAGGGGTGGGGGAGGGGAGCTTGTAATTCCAGTACAGGTGAGGCAGAGACCAGAGAGGTGGCTGCCTGGGGTTCAATGATTTTGAGAGTGGATGATACTTGGTAAGTGAGCAGGAGTCTAGTGGAGCTATGTTTATGCACAACCATAAATTATTATGATTAGCTTCCTGCATGAAATTAATTAGGCATAATTAAATTAGCTCTAAAATCCTTCCTAAAGAAGAGCTTGTTTTAAACAACTCCAGAATTGGAATTTTCAGCTAAACTTCAAGTGTCCCTACTTTGAAAGTGGTTTTTTATAAACAATATAAAACTTAAGAATTCTGTGGTTTATTAAAGATTTTATTAACTTAGGGGGATTCCCCTCCTGACACCATATTTAAAAATGCTTTTCACATTCCTGCTATTTGCTTTCATGAGAAGTTAATGAACATGTCAGTAAGAGATGAGAATATTGCAAATGGACTCATCAGTTTCAAATATACAATGCATCATTTGCCTAGAAGCTATAGGGAGACCTCCAGAAGGGAGAGAGAAAGTGCTTGGAAGGGGCCTTGTTTTGGAAATGAAAAGCACTTTTTCCCCCAGAGAAAATAAATGTCATCAAAATCAGAGTTGGCAAAACTTCTGGGTTAGGTCATTTATAAAAACCACAAATAGCCAAGTGTCTAGTTAGGATGTCTGTTGCTGCAACAAAACACCAGGACCAAAAAACTAGTTGGGGAGGAAAGGGTTTATTTGGCTTCATCACTGAAGGAAGTCAGGACAGGAACTCAAAATGGGAAGGATCCTGGAGGCGGAGCTGATGCAGAGGCTTTGGAGGGGAGCTGCTTACTGGCTAGCTTCTCAAGGCTTTGCTCAGTCTGCTTTCTTTTAGAAGCCAGGACCATCAGCAGAGGGATGGCACCACCCACCATGGGCTGGGCACTCCCTCATCAATGACTAAATGAGAAAATGTCTTACAGCTGGATCTGATGGAGACATTTCCTCAGCTGAAGCTCCTTCCTCTCTGATGACTCTAGCTTGTGTCAAGTTGACACAAAACCAGGCAGTACAAGTAAGGTAGCACATGTCTGTTATTCCAGCACTTACTTGTGTGATAGAGACTGTAGGATCAGGTGGGGTCTTGGTGGCTTGCTTCTGTAGTACAATTGGTAAGGTTCAGTTTCCCTGTCTCAAAAGACTGAAGTAGAGAGAAATTAAGGAACACCCACATATCATCTTCTGCCCCGCTATGCAAATGGCTGAGTGAGCCACACACACACACACACACACACACACACACACACACACACACACACACCATAACACACACCTGCCTAGGGGCACATTTTCTCTATTTCAGGATGATACCCCAGGGTTGTTTAAGCTCTTGTACTTGATTCTGTAGAGCAGCTCAGTGGATGAATCACTGCTCAGCCATATCCCTAGAGGATGTCCTTACAAATGTTGACTCAGCAGCATCACTGGGGTGGGTGGAAAAGGAGCCTGCTGAGAAGCCTGGTGGATAACTTGAAGCCAGGGCTGCAGTTCCTGTGCTTGAGATGATAGCCAGTGTTCTGCAAGGAAATGGAATACAAGGCAGTGGCTACTCTTGAAAGCTATCCTTTCTGTCTAATAGGAAATCTCAGAGGCCAGGCATTGTTGAAGGGACAGCACCCCTATATTCTAGCCTCGAATCTGGCCAGTGTGAGGATTTCCCTTTTCTCTCTCTGTTTTGGGCTGTGGCTAAGCCTGGGAGCTGTTCTCCTGAACACCAGCTGCTACAGAGAGGATGTGAACATGACATCATGGCTAGCAGAGGCAGTCAGCTTTTCTGCAGCTGTGTGTGTCCAGGCTGTAGACAGCCACCATGTGCACTGTGGCTGGAGGCCAACGAAGGCAACACAGAAGACAGGGATCCAGCCCGAGTGGCTTTACCTATCTCTGGTTCTGTGCTTAACCTGGGAAAACAGGCACATAGCGTTTCTCCCCCAGCGCAGCCCGGTGCTTCTATAGAGAATGCCAGGGAGACACCCAAACGAGCAAGCATGCAGGCCTGGCTGAGGGTCTTGCTGGGATATCTATGCAAGTCCCAATCCTCAGCACCCCACAGTCAGTTTTCTCTCTGCCCATTCTGCTTACTGTTCAGCAATCAGGGAAGCTCTGCAATGTGAGGACAGGAGGCTTGCTCTGACAACTTAGGATGTGAGGCCCACTTGATTTCCACAAAAATGGATTGGCTTGGGGGTAAAATCATGATAATAAGGAGATTAAAATTTTTTTCCACAAGAGTTGGTCTTCCTAAAAGCTTTTATTTTTCTCTCTGAGTTCTAGGTATTTATTGTACAATTCGCAGTGAAGATCGCTGTGCAAGTGGGTTTTAAGTATTCTCACCAACAAGCAAACCCTCCAAAAAAACCTCAAACCCTTAAACTAGTATCAAATGTGGTGGACATTTTTATTAGCTAGATTTGGTCATTTCACAATGTATACTTGCAGCCTTGACAGCTCAAAATATATTTATTTCTTATGAAAAACTTAGACGTGTCCAGAGGCAAAGCCCATTGAGTGGCAGATACACTGGCTTTGATGCCTTCCCACTTTGTCTGTCATCACACCTTCTAGCTTTTACTCCAATCCATGCCACCTGCCCTGTCATTTCCCCTGCAGGATGCCCAGTGTGCTCTGAGAGATGACTCTGTCCCAAGATGCTCAGTCGTCAGCCCATACCTGGGAATCTGTGCATCGAGATGTCAAACAGAACCTTTAACCTCCAGAAGCCCAGCCTGTGGGTGTGAGTGGGCCAGTTGCATCTTCAGGATCCATGTCTAGCGGCAGTAGGCTGAGGGATGTACACATGTGGGATTTGCTCCTTAACACACACCCACTGGGGATTCAGTTGAATAATGCACACACAGATGGTGATGGATGGAATGGAAGGAGAAGGACAAGCCATGATATTGTTCCCAGTGTAACTGGTGCACCAAATTTGCTGTGAGTGGACATGACTAAGGCAAAAGAAGTAATGGAGGATAGTGAATGCCACAGTGGAAATGTAGTGTCAGCCAGGGGAGGCCAGCTGGGACCAGGGCTGCCAGCTGCCGTCATACCTGTGCTTGTATCGGGCCAGTTTTAGGATTTACTTATTTATATATTTTAAGGTAAATGAATCATGGCTGCTTTGGAGGTGCCACTCTCCTCCTTTAGCGCCTTCTCCTAGCCAGGATACTGGCCCCACCAGTGCTCATGGTTGTCTACTAACTGGGGGAGTTTTTGGAGGGATGTTTAGGGATGTTTGTTGAAGGAAAAGCAAGGCACAGCCCTTCATTTCATCAAGAGAGGGAAATGCAGAACCAGGGCTAAGCAGGCCTTGTACCTTTGCTTTCACACTCATCCTCAACTGCACACCATTTTTAGAAATGGCTTTCTGTTGCCTTTCTGTGGATGTAAGTAATGATGCTTACAGCTTTCCAAGTCAAGTGGCTTGAAATACCAGTGCAGTTGACGGGGAATTAATTGTCTCTGATCAGAAATACCTTTTAATGTTTTTCAACTCTTGAGAGAATAGTGTTGAGAAGTCCAGCTGTAAAAGGGGCGTCCTGGGCTGGTGAGGTGGCTCAGTGGGTAAAGGTACTTATCACCAAGCCTGGCAACCTGTGTTCCGTCTTCACAAGCCACCGGGTAGAAGAAGAGAACAGACTTCCTCATACATTTTCTTAGGGTTTTATTGCTATAAAGAGACACCATGACCACAGCAGCTCTTATAAAAGAAAACAGTTCATTGGTGGCTGGCTTACAGTTTCAGAGGTTTGGTTCATTTTGTCATGGCCAGAAGCATGGTAGCATGCAGGCAGACACTGTGCTGGAGAGGTAGCTGAGAGTTATACATCTGGGTCAGTGGGCAGCAGAAAGAGAGAGAGAGAGAGAGAGAGAGAGAGAGAGAGAGAGAGAGAGAGAGAGAGAGAGGGAGAGAGAGAGAGAGAGAGACTGGGCCTGGCTTGAGCTTCTAAAACCTTAAAGCCTACCCCCAGTGACCTCTTCCAACAAGGCCACACCTACTCCAACAAGGCCACACCTCCTAACAGTGCCACTCCGTATGAGCCCCTGGGACCATTTTCATTCAAACTACCACAAACCTTTACATGTGTCCAATGGCACATGCATGCACACATCACAAATAAATGCCAAAAAAAAAAAAAAATCTAAAATGGGGCTCTTTTTACTGTCATCATTAATTGTCCAAACTAGAGTGACAACATCTCGGTAGCACTAGCCATTATTAGTATATTTTCCTCTCCTATTTCTACAGGGCACCACATACATCTGACTGTATCTTTCCCCCTCCCCCCAGGACAGATTTCTGCGTTCACAAAGATGAACCGTGTGACACTGTCGGTAAGTTTACAGTTCTCACGATGATTCAAGGAGATGATGTATCGTGGGACTTCTAGTCTGAAGGAGTTACCCCCATGTTGACAATCGAGCTTCATATTTTCTGTTGCCTCTCTTTGTGTAAACTGATTTCTTGACTGTATTCTATAGATTTTCTTTTCAGGTAAGTTTTGAGGTTGCCTATGACAGAAGGCATCTGGATAAAGGGTTAAGAATGTTATAACAAGGCAGACCAAAGGCAAGAGCTGCCAGGCTGCTCCAAGCAAGAACAATTGCCTCTAAGTGTCTTAACCACATGGGTGGTTTGCTTTCTGGTCTAGACAGTACTGAGATATGCATACAATGCTGGAGAAACTGGGTTTTTCTTCCCTTCTCTTCCTCACCTGCCTTCACATGCAGGTTTCCTTCCTTTCCTATTCTCAGTCAAACCTGAATTGCCCTTCGGTTCTTAAGGCTTCATGGAGAAGTTTTCTTTCTGCCTGGCAGTGATGGCACACTCCTTTAATCCCAGTACTTAGGAGGAAGAAACAGGAGGACCGCTTAGTTAGAGGTCAGCCTGGTCTACAGAGCTAGTTCAAGGACAGCAAGGGTTACACAGAGAAACCCTGTCTCAAAACAAGCAAACAAACAAACAAAACAACCAACCAACAAACAAACAAACCTCTCTTCAGGTGCAGGCAGAGTACTTGTCTAGTAAAGGAAGTGTCCAGATGGTCTCTATTTTCATCTGTCATTGCACGCAGGGAGGTCCCCAATATTGTATTACCCAAAGGAAAATTATGAATCTCATATGCTCAGATGCTTCAAGTTACAGAAACATTGATGGGGAGTCACCATATCTAATATTGTAAAATCCAGATGTTAGCAACCTGTTACCATGGAGTCTCAGTTATGGGGTGACCTTAGCCTCTGCCATGGCTCTACATGATGGAACTGGGTGACTCAAGTTTCTTAACACATATTATGACTGGCTTGATTAAGTGATTTAATAAGGTCCTTTAAAATCTGGTATGATGCTAGCTAACCTTTATATTACACATTGCAGTTTATAATTATTATTTTTCTTTTTTACTTTATCAGTCTTCTAAACAGATCAGAGAACAGGAGTTCAAAACTCAGCCAATAGATGTCTGTGCTTTGCCCCTTAGGATGGGTTCCATGATGGGATCTCTGGGTGAAGACAATGTTAGTCCTGTTTTGCGTGTGGGGTAGCTGAGCTAGGCATAAGCCTGGCTGGGGCTGTAGAAGATGTGAAACTACAGAGAAGTGTGTGGCTGGTGCAGTTGCTCCTTCCAGCATTCCCAGGTGGTCTTTGAGGGCCACTGTAGCTCTCCCTGGAGTGTGTCTCTCCATCACCCTGTGTTGTCTCCTTGCCTAGGCTCAAGAGGCATCGCTCCTCCTCTAGCCTTTTCCCTATACTCCCTGGTCCCCCAGAAGCCTCTGTGTTATGCTGTGCTGAGCCTGGGTCTCCAAACTGTCCTCCAGCAGCTGGCTGACAACTTGAGAGGTCCCTATGTACAGTGTGGAGGGGAAGGAATGAGTATGGATGAAAGAAGCCCCGTGTCTGAATAGTGTGCACGGAGTATGTGCTTCTCTTCACATGGTGGATGACTACCATTTGTTTGTTTAACTGTGAGTATATGAAATGCCCTGACGATATGAATTGATTGCACACCACTGCCCTTGCAGAAGATCGAGTAGTTAATCCTAACCAAGTACCTTTCTCTTGTCTACTTAGCGCTTCCATTCCACTTTAAATACTTGGCTCATGACACCTTTCCATTCCCAAGTGCTGCAAGGTCTGTGTATCTCTGACCTTAAGAAAAGCTTGTGCTTCTCTATTGGCTACAGGTGTTTGGTTTCTGATGAGGGCTGTCCATGGCGGGCAGATAGCTGCTTTCACACCATTCTCTTGCTTCTGTGTGCCCCTGTCCTCTTTCTTCTTGTTGTGAGGGTCACCCTGATTAGGACCCACCTTTATCACCTTCATTTAACCTTACTTAATTCTATTTCTCAAAGCCCTGTGTCAGAATATAGTCATCCGAGGGGCAATACTTCATCCTGTGGTGCTAAGGATCATACTTTAGTCTATGGGGCTATTCATTTGACATTAGCCACTTATCACGAGGTGGTATCCGATATCCTTATATGGCCTCTCTGGCACGATATCTCACTTCCTAACGGAGCTCATCTTTTCATGGCAGGGACAGGATGCAATCATTGTTACTTTGGTGGCTGGCTACCTGAGGGACGAGCTGCTCTGCATCCTGCCTCCCAGCATGAACTCTTTCTAATGCCCTGGTGACATTTAACTTTTACAAAGGGAATTGGACATGGGAACTTGGCATTTTATTAGTAGTATTTATTTCAATGTGCCATAATTTTATGTGCTATAACTTGAACATGTTATCAAATCATTTGTAAAATCAAGTAATTTGATAAGCATTTTAAAACTGGGGATATGGCAGTCACAGACTAGCTTCAGACTCTTATTAATTTCTGTGTGTGTGTGTGTGTGTGAGAGAGAGAGAGAGAGAGAGAGAGAGAGAGAGAGAGAGAGAGAGAGAGAGAGAGACAGAGACAGAGAACCATAAGTGGCCAGATAAGTAGAATGGCCATTAACTGGTTTATCTGGATGTAACCCTGCCTCAGGTGGAGGAATATCTGAGCATAGTCTTAAGGAATTGCCTCTGAGGGGGATAATTCCTTTTGAATGACCCAGTTTAGATGCCCTCCATTTCATCTTGTTCTGGCAGATAGATGCACCGCAGTTTTGGACTCTTCCTCAAACCTGTCACATTAGCTTTGGATCTGTTCTGGGCAGAAGTAAAAGTTTGACATTTAATCATGTACTCATTGTCTCAGGGCAGGTCCTCCAGTCTCTGGCAAATTCCTCCACTTGCCAGTTTTATGGTACTTGTAATTAGGCTTTGGCCATCTTCTATGGGTGTGTGAGGGTGGTGGGCATGAAAACTTTCAGTTTAGGGAAAGAAATGTGAGTCTATCTAGCTATGGATTTTAGGCCTTAGAACTCAGCCTTTTTTATACTTATTAAAAAACGCAGCATCTACTTGCAAGAGTTAGTTATGGGCGTAGCATTCTATCCGTTTTAGGGCTTGTCTCACAATTACACCTTGGATTTCTTACTTGAAGGCCACACATCCAAGAGTTGGGCAACATCTACTGTCTTGACATAATTGTAAAATGTAGGCAACCAACTGGATGGTGGTGGGGCATCTGGGAGGAATTAGCAAAGAGGTGAATGTGGCCAAAATATAGTCTATAAAATTATCAAAGAACAGATTTTTTAAATGGGAGGGGGATTCTAGGAAAGCCAAAAAGGATATATTTTACTACAACAATTCATCTCTTAACATGGTTAGCTTTAAATGTTGCTATAGTATATTTAAAATGCTGATTAGCTTGTGCCTGGATGCTGAGGGAGTCTTCTAAAAGATCATTTGTAAGGGCTGCCATTATTCAGAACAAAGGAGAATGTGGGTGGCCCTGGGATCTTTCCCACCCTTGCCTCCTCAGGTGGCTGTTGTCAGCATGGCCTAGGATAATGATGGTTGAGTGAATGTATTCATATAGGCGCAAGCACACATATGTACGCACCAGGTACAAGTGCGCAGGTTGGAGGGTGCAGTGTGTGTGTGTCTAGTGTCTGACAGAGTAGCTCAGCCCGGGAGTTCTCCCAGTCCTCAGCTTGTCTGTCTTGGAAGCTGCACTACAGTAGAACCTCTCTGTGTTTGGGGTGCAGCTGGGCATCCATAACTGAAACCACATGTTCCTGGGTTCAGCTTGTCTCACTTTTCCTGCCAGGGTCTGTTAAGGTGACATAATCACTGGACCATATTAGAAAATGTCAAAAATACAGAGCTAAGTTTTTGCACGGAATGGAATTCTATCAGCTCTTTGGAGATATGGAACCAACATTTAGTTTAGAACTACACAGAGACCAAGGAAACATGTGGCTGTGCCTAAACTGTCTCTGGAATTAAAAAGGAAGGGGGCTGAAGACGCCAAGAAGCTCAGCACACAGGATATCCAATTGGGGGTCTCAAATACAGGCTTGGACATTGGCTGCACAGCACAGCAATACCATTGCCTGTGTGTGTGTATTTCATTTATTGAGATTACAATATAATTATACCATTTCCTTCTTCCCATTCTTCCCTCAAAACCCTCTCATATACCCCTGCTTGCTCTCTTTCAAATTTAAGGCCTCTTTTTTTCATTAATTGTCATTGCATATAAATGAGTAAGTGTATTCCTAAAGACATAAATACAAGCTGTTCATTCTGTATGATGTTACTTTTATGTGTGTTTTCAAGGATGATCACCAGTTGATGTGCTCTTCCCTGAGTTATTGCTTGAAGGTCTAAAGTTTCAGTTTTACAAGAGGAAGCATGAAGCAGTTGTGATGTTGTGATGGCTAGTTTTAATTGACAACTTGACAGACACACTGTAGAGTTACTGGGAGAGTCTCAGTGGTGGTTTTCATTGGGTTGGGCTATGGTATTTTCCCAAAGGGTTTAGTGGGTTAACTGATGTAGGAAGTCCCAGCACACTGTGAGCATCATCCCCTGAGTATGAGTCCTGAAACATACAGAATTGAGAAAGCACACTAAGCACGAGAGGCATGCACACATTCATTCCTCTCTCTGTTCTTGACTGCTGATGTGACGAGCTGCATCAAGTTCTTGTCTTGGCTTCCTCACAGTGATGAATTGTGGCCTGTGAGCCAAACAAACCCTTTCTCCATCAGTTGCTTAGGGTGAGGGTGTTTAATCAGGGTGGCAGCCATGGGTGAACAATGAATGAATGAATTTATTGTACTGAACTGTATAGCACTGAGAAATGGTTAATAGAGTAAGCTTTGTGTTGTGTTTAATTGGCCGTGATGGAGTTTGTTTGTTTTGATTTTTTTTCCCTAGGTGAGATGACAAGGAGAGAAATTGTAAATTTGATTCTATAGGTTTTTTGCTTTTGCTTTTGTT